TTCTAAGCAAGAGTTAGTAACTCAATCGGGAAAAAGTTGATAATACTCTAATTAAGATTGAAATTTCTAAAACGAGTTGTAAATTTAACTAGTTGGTAAGAAAGACATAAAAATTGCTTGCTCAATATCAAAATGTGAAAAATTTAAAAAGAAAAGCTAAACAAATATTCGAAAACAAATCAAATAAGAGTTTGTAAATCAAAATTTGTTGGTAACCTAATGGGAGATAATCTGGTAAGTCACACAAATAGAGGTTGGTGAATCTATATAAGAGTTAACAAACTTAAGGAGTTTGTAAGAAAGTCAAATTAAAGTTGGTAAATGATGACAAAACTTGATAAATTAAAAGAAAACAAAATAAATGTGGTGGGTAGCTCAAATGAGATTTGGTAACATAAAATTAGTTAGTAACTTAATCGAAAAAGGATAATTAGTAAGTTAATCAAATAAAGAATGGCAAATTCATATAACAATTGGCAATTTTAGGAAAAATGAAAATAATAGTTCCTAAACTTTAGCCCAATATGCAATGTCATCTTTGAACTTTTAATTCGTTTGGTGTGGTCATTAAACTATTCTTAAACGTTCAATCTGGTCCTTAAATATTCAATTTGTTCAATCTAATATCTTCACTTTCCATAAAAAAAATTAAATCACTCCATCAGCTCTATTCACAAGTTTTCATAATTACATAATCGCCCAGATTTTAAAAAAAATCCATTTTGTAAATCAACAAAAAAATGCTATCTTTTTATTACTTTTTTATCTTTTTGATCTTTATAAATATTATTATACTTTTATTTAAGTATATTTTAGCTTAGGGAAAAGGATAGTAGAAGTGTTATAATTTTTTGTATAACACTCGCTTTAGTATAAAAACTGCAAATAGTTCGAGTGATGACTTCAAGCCGGGCGTACTTGGTACCGCTTTGGTAAAACAATGATCACTCAAGTGCCATCGATGATTTGGTGTGCCCGAAATTCGACGTGGCAATATTTTATCATTTTTTTCCAACCGACATGACTTGCTAAAATCCAACATGACAATATTTCAAATTAAATACTCTAAACAACATCGCTACACATGCTAGCCCTAAATTTTACAAAATTGGGGACAAATCGAGCTAATTTTCCCCTGTTCTTCAAACTCTAATGTAAACTTAGGCATTTTGGGCCAAAATTAAGGGCTGAATCTTGCAATGAAGAGCATGAGCAAGTCAAGTGGTTGAATTTCATGTCAACAAAACCATTACGAATGTGAATATTACGTTATTGTGGGCGCATAAGTCCAAGAAGAACAACTGGAACAAGGTTAGATCCCGGAGAAGGTTTCATGGATCGGCCAAATATAAAAAAGGCTCAAAGTACGCAATTTTCAGATGGGTCGATGCAATATTTTCATGTTAAGCAACGTAAGTTATTTTGGAGCCACTTCAAAGATGACATCAACATAAAGATGTTAGCAGGAAAGACAAATAAAAATTGGTAAGACAAATAAAAGTTCTTACCAACGTCTTAAATTTGTAGGAAAGATAAGAAAAGTTGATGGATTGCAAACCGTAAAAATTGTTAGTAATTTCATAAAGTGTCTGTAAGAAACTAACAAGTTAGTGGGAAATCCGATGACTCGTATTAGTTTTTGCCAACAATTTTTTTGATAGTTATCAATTCTTTAATAAATCTATTAGCTTGGAAAGAAAATAAACCTGTTTTTTTTGGGAAACAAAACAGTAGAATCTTTCCTACATCGTCATTCGAAAAATGATTTTTTTTCCAATTTGAAGCAAAAGTAAAGAGGGCTCGTGGAAGTAACCCAGAAAATACAACTATATTGTTAATCTTATGCGTTCATATGATATCAATTTCTCACATGAAAAACTCGAATAATAGGCCGACTATGACTTATTCAATTCCATAAGACGACGCGTATTATGTCTTTTCTTGTCGACCGTATTCGTCATTTGTTTTCTCTCGACTCCAGAGTATCCGCAAGAAAGTATCGAGAAAGTGCTTCGATTAGCATTGACAAATCAAAGTCCCAATGTTTTGTATTGGAATTCCAATTCCGTTACTGTGCCTGATTGCGAACTCCTTGTTTGGTAATAAGAGCGTGCTTGACTAGCGTTCACTTGTCCACGGCCAATCAACTTACCAATAATACGTCTTGGTCAAGTGATTATTGTCCTCTTCGTTAATAGAGAAGACTATTCGATCAATCACGTCTAATATGTCTTTGTCGCGTGATGGGGTTGAAGGGGAAAAGTACAAAAAAAAAAGTCATAAACCTATTATATTGGTATCAATTCAATCCTCAACCTTTCGATTGGACCAATTTAGTTCTAAACATTTTTACATTTGTACCAATTCTGTCCATCCGGCCAATTTAGACTGGAAATCGCTAACGTGCACGCCAGCTGTCCTACATGGCGCGACCGGCGTTGACATGGACAAATTTTAATATATTTTTTCTTGAATTTTAATATTTTTTTTCATTTTTTTCCCTGCCTTCTCCTTCCTTGGGCTTGTGGCCGATGGCCAGCCCCAGGCGAGGGCTAGCGAGGGCATGGCAAGAGCTACCCTCATGGCCTGGGTAAGGGTCGCCCTCGCCAGATCCGACGAGGGCAGCCCTCCCCCAGGCCACGAGCCATGAGGGCGGCCCTCACTGACTCGGGCGAGGGTTAGACCCTCGCAGCCTAGGCGAGGGCTAGACAGGCCTAGGCGAGGGTCACTCTCGCCGGATCTGGCGAGGGCTGGACCCTCGCAGCCTAGGCGAGGGTCGCCCTCGTTGGCCCTTGCTTGTGGCCAGTAGCCATCGGCCACAGGCCCAAGGAAGGAGAAGGCAGGGAAAAGAAAGGGGACAAAAAGGAAAAAAATATTAAAAATTCAAAAATTATTAAAAATTGATCATGTCAGCGCCGGCCGTACCATGTAGGACGGCCAGTGTCATGGCACAGCTGGTGTCCACGTCAGCGATTTTCATCCTAAATTGGTTGGATGGACTGAATTGGTACAAATGTGAAAATATTTAGGACTAAATTGGTCCAATTAAAGGGTTTAGGACTAAATTGGTACCAATACAATAGTTTAAAACTTTTTTGGTACTTTTCCCAAGGTGAAGATGGCTAAGGTGTTGACCTGTCAATCGGATGGATCGGGTCGGGTTGAAAATGGTCTGATCTAGATGTATCCATGGACATGCAATACAAATGTAATGACTCATATTCGACATACCCAACCTAACCCAACCCATCTTACTAAATTACTTCCATATTTAGCTCAATTTAGGAAAACTCATACCCAAATTGAGGTAAGAGTGCAAAGCAAGCGAGCGCGAGAGAGAGTAGAGAGAGAGTAAAGAGGTGGGTTGGGTCTAAGTAAGCTGTGAACCCATTTAACACACATATTATATTGGGCTTTAACATTCTAAATTCATTTATGACCTATTTACTGAATAAAACTAACCCATATAACAACTCGACCTATCAAATATGGGTTAAAAAATGAGTCTATGACCATTTTGATAGGTCTACTAAGGTGGTTGAGCCCAACAATTACGATGGATGTGGGGATAGTGGTGACAAACTTGGTGATTGCCGGAGTGAAGGCGGAGGCGATCCCTAGTGGCAGATAGAGGTGAGGCGCTGATGTCGGGCTTGTGCAAAAGTAGAATCCTAACAAAGAGAGTAGAGAGAAAATGGGGAAAATTGTCCAAAAAGTTCTAAACCTATTGTACTTTGGCTAATTCAATCATAAACCTTTCAATTCTGCCAATTAAGTCCAAAGTCATTTGACAATTTGCCAATTAAGTCAATCTAGCCAATTTTGGCTGGAAATCGCTGATGTGAATGTTCGTTGTCCTGCGTAGTACCGCTGACGCTATTGTGAAATATTAAAAAATTTAATTTTTTTTTTTATTTTCCTTTTTTCTTTGTTTTTTTTCTATGCTGGTGTGGGTCACCAATGACGCTTGCGGTCGGCAAGGCAGTGATGGCCTTGGGTAGGGCCTTCATAGCCCTATCGGTTGCGGGCGAGGGTCGCCGGTGACCGTTGTTGGCATAGAATAAAAAGGCAAAGAGAAAAAGGAAAATAAAAATAAAAAATTCAAAAAAATTCAAAAATACAATAATTGTCCACCTTAGTGTCGACAGTGTCATGTAGGGCAACCAGTGTCTACGTCGGCAATTTCCAGCCAAAATTGGCTAGATGAAATCGATTAGCAAATTGTCAAAGTTTCACGACTTAATTGGCAAAATTGAAAGGTTTATGACTCTATTAGCCAAAGTGCAATAGGTGTAGAGCTTTTTGGATACTTTTTCCAAGAAATGTGATGGAATTAATTGTTTAGGTATGGAAAATTGCAAATTAATTTGACAATGAATCAATAGTACTGGGGAATAGATGTGTTAGAATAATTAAATATTAAATAATATTTTCATCAAACAGTTTAAATTTGTAGAACAGTTAGTAGTGGTTTACAAAATCCCACATTATATTAGAGCAGGAGGTCATGTGTTCAAAACTTCCAGGTTCTTTTAGGAACTTTTAGAACAGTTGGCGGTGATCTCACAAAATCCCACAAGATGCACTTATGGATTTAACAATTGCATGACAACCCAATTTCTTGCCAATTTTTTTATTAACACTGAAATAAATATTGTAGGTAAGTTTGAGGACTTTTAGTTCAATTAGCCCCTGAATTAGAAAGGATGGAGTGATTTATCCAAACAAAAGGAGGGATACTAAACAAATTTTTCCTAACCCTTAAATTCGAAAAAAAAAAAAACCGCCCCCTTTCCATAATCAATTCTCATATTTTGGAAAAAGTATTCTGCGCAACGGTTACATTTTAGCGATAATGACAATGGAGAAACTAGCTAATAAGAACGGAGGATTTAAAACCGTCGATAACGTAGTTGGTTGATTACACCACATCATTCGTGTGACCATTATACAAAATGATTTTTCATATTTGAAATAAAAGGATGATGTTGCATAGTTGATTCATCTTAAAGAGAGGATATTTTATAGTTGGTTTAGTTGAGAGAAATTAAAGCAATTGCGTAAGTAGGTACCCATGTTAGGTGCGACAATTACTCCCCTTTTGCACCGAAAACGTGGACCAGCCATAGAGAAGCCTCCAAAAATCCGAGGTAGCCTCCTGGAAATTCACGTCCCACACCTTCTCTCACACGAAAAATCTGTCCCTATCTTCGATTTGATTGATACACATGAAATGACGTGCGATTGTAGAAAATCGAAAAATTGACAAACGTGTTGCAAAGCCACAGAAAAGACCAAAATTAACGGGCAAAAAAAGAAAAAAGAAAATATGAATTTTCAACGACCAATCAAAGCAATTGATCAATCGCAGCTTCGTCCTTTCAAGGTTGAGGCGTCGCCAGAGCAGAGTTTCTCCAGAATCTTTGATCAGACCCTGCACGTTCCGAACACGAAAGAAAAATTGATTTTGTTAACTTTACGACAACTGAAGTCAACGTGCCAATATTGAAACCGTCAACGGATTGCATGCCAGATCCATCTTGAGTTTTGATTCTGTCCCGCCTTATTTTAATCGAAATTTTAATGTGAACAAAGGCGTCGCGACTCAAGCCGCTCGAATGGATTTTGAATTATAAAATATGCCCAATAAATGGCGTAAACATATAGAATTGCGACGGACTTAGTTTTTGTTTTGGCTGATAACATGAATTGTCTAATATGATCGTCACTTTACCGCTACCTCATTCAGATTGGCTGCTATTACTATTTTGAAGTTCTTATGCTCTGAAATGGCTGCTCTTCTTATTTTGAAAAGTTTTTCAACTTAGAATTGGAAGTTCTTATGCTCTGAATTGGCTGCTATTCCTATCTTGAAGCATCCGAATTCCGAGCTTGTCACAAGAATTCTTCGCTCAACACGGCGAGAAAAGGGCGAAAAAGAATTCTTAAACTCGAAAAATGTTGTCAAAATGACTAGCATGAGCTTCACAAAGAGAAGGAAATGGAGTTACTTACTGTTGAAACTCGACGTTGATCGAAGTCACGGAGGAATTGGCAATGGCTCCGAAAGCGGTCTGAGACAGGACCAAGGTGGCGCCGGCAACGGACTGCTTGGAGGTGGCGGCTGCGGACGTGGACGAGAGGGCGTAGTCGACAATCTTGATCTGGATAGTGCGTTCAGGGATGCAGGTGCCGGACTTCGACGCGCTGATGCACCGCACCAGGTACTGCCTCCCGCACGCCGCCCCGTTGTCCCACACCCCGTCGCCCGCCGCCGCGAACAGGTTGCTCGACGGGAACTGCGACGGGTCCCCGCCATAGCATTCCGTCGCTAAAACAAAAAGGGGTTAAGAGAAGGAAATCATATAGCTTCCACGTCTGCAAAATCAATAAGTTCATATCTCTTTAAAGACAGGAGAAACTTCTCTCCCTGTCCCTCTTCATCTAGGGTTAGGACTTACGCTGGTATGGAGGGGTATAGTGAGAAGCTGTGCCGACGTCACCAAGGACCACGGGGACGATCTCCGGGAGGCCGAAGGCGAGGAGGATGAGGAGGAGGAAACACGTATGGAGGTGCGCAGCGAGGCTCCTACTGATTAACATTTTAGGAAGATGGAGCGTGGGAGGGAGATTATGTGCATATATTCTCTCAAAGTCAACGCTTTCTTTTCCATAGAATGATATAAATAATGATGGACATGTGTACGTGATCGAAAGGGAAGATGCCAACCGCGAGATAAGAGATTAGACCCCACATATGACATGGCAACTTGCTCGAAATGAATGTGAACTTGCATTTTTTCTTTTCTTGGATTCGTCAAAGTCACCTCTCGACAGTCAAAATGAAATGTTTTCCTTCGCAGTATGCCAAATTGAAACGCGCATTCAGCCCCTAGGGAGGCTTTTTGGCGCGGATTGTTCTGGAAAGTATTCGGTGGGACTTAGAAAATGTGTGCGTGAAGGCAATGCCGATCTGAATTTTCATAGACCGGTGGATGATCAGGTTGCATGTTGAGGTCTCCATTCAACCCCCTCCCGGTTACAATGTTCTGGAAGCGGCACCTGACATGTTCGGCCTGGGGAGTTTAGGCCTGGACAATCGGGAGTCGCTCGATACGGAATTAAATTGAAAAAGTAATCGACCACGTTGCAGAAACGCTCACCTAGCTACATGCTCGCGCGCTCGCGTGTGTGAACAAGAAGCTCAACGAAAGAGAGATACAGAGTGTTCCTTGTTCATGTTACACATTGCATGTTACATGGACTAAGTATCGATTTCGATTTTTTTTTAAAGGTTAGGAGTTCTTATAATTGAATCCGACATGCGTGTTTGGAGGGCTCTGGAGTGGAACTAGTGAACAGTTATTCTTTCATGAAAGGTAATGAAAGGTCACAAGTGTAGTTTTCTTTCTTTGTTGGACAAGACACCGAGGTGTTGTAGTCATTCTAACCGATCGTGTACAGCACGGGGCTAAGTTTTGGGGAGTATAGGGCACGCGATGACGATGTCATTCCTAACATAGCCCAAAATTCCGGACCCCGGTTACACGCCGAAGGTGAGTAAGCTCCGTCTGTTTCGCAAAAAAATAATAATCCGAATAATATTTTCTTAAAAATTATCGATTATATCGCTTACAAAAAATGAATAAATAAAAAAAAAATTCATTGTCCACGAAAATAATGAAAACATTTTTCATCAACTAGTTATTTTAAACGATACGAGCGATATAATTTATTTTAGGTGAAACAAATGGAGCCTGATTAGAAAAGTTCTTGCGGTAGGATTTTCATATCGCACAAAATCCTGAAAGTTAGATGAGTCGTCAAGATAAAAGTGAAACGACTCGGCCATTTCATGTGGGCCAAGTTCTCTAAAGGAATACTCGAGATAACATATAAGGTGGCGATCATTTGACAATGGATGTTTGATTTATGAATCACTCAACATGGCCTCTCTCGACCGATGTGGGATTATAAGATGTTGCGTAAAGCTTTAATGATAATTAGTTGTGATCTCAAGTGACAATAAGAGTAAAGAAAGCGAGAGGACGGAACGTGACCTCACATGTGACATAATAAGAAACCAACCTCAAGCTTGAGTAATTGAGACATGAGATAGAGATAAACATGGGCAATAGTCTATCTTCCGGATGGCTTATAATTATTATGTGACATTAACATTTAGCTACCATGCAAGAGACTAAAGACAGTGATGGAATAATTAAATAGACCTTCCTTCATGCACAAGATGAAACTAATACAATGATTTAACTTTAGGAGAATTGTATTGTGCCACTAGTTTTTTTGCCCCTTAATGCCTTAAGTTTAGCAATGTTCGCTCCGGCATTTTAAAATTTGTTTCAATTTACTCCCGGATATCGACTCCGACCCCAAAATAGTCGCTAGAATTTTGGTCATGTGCTATCGTGTGACTAAAGGTTCCAAAAGTTTTGTAACATACTCCAATTCCATGATCTTTTGAAGTATGTTGCAATTTTTCCTCGATGGTATTGTAAAATCATCACGATTAAGGGAACATCGTAATGGAAAAGATATAGAAAGGAACAAATCGGATGAGAGAGAGGTGTGAAGTAGTAAAGGTGCGGCATTGAAGCTGATGGCGATGATCGTTACCACCACGGTTGCAACAAGCAATGACGGCCATCATCACCGTCACTACCGGCAAGACCTCGACCTCTTTGGTAATTCCTAGTTACTGTTTAGCTGAAAGAACCGATGAAATACCTTTCGAAATATGAATCGATGTGAACTGACGGAGGTCTTGAAAAGGTCCTTTTTTTTATTCTTGGACAGGAAACATAAACTGCGAGAAAAATTAAAGGTGTTGAGACTGAGAAAAACGTTTGCCAGCCAAGGCACTAAAATGTAAAGATAAACTAGAAGTAAAATTGAATAACCGGTGTTCTTTGATTGATTGAGTTGTCCCCTCTACAAATTGACGGTTAACAACAATTGTAAAAATATATCCTACGTGATTCCTACAATCTAGCAATTCCTATCCACAAGTGGTTGGTTACCCAGAAAGAAACGACTCCCACTACTTGGATGGTTGTGTTTTTTCTACTTCTCCACAATTGCCTCTATCAGTTGCTCATGGACTTCTCGGCCCCGCTACTCGACAGTTGCATTGAGTTTACTACTTTACAAATGCACCTCTGATGGTTGAATCCGAAATCATGAGCTCCAATAGTTAGACAGTTATTCTAATCATTTTGTCAGGAAAATTATTCAAAAAGTTTTAAATCTATTGAACTTTTGCCAATTCAGTCTTAAACTTTTTAATTGTGCTAATTGAGTCCTAAACATTTTTATATTTAGCCAATTGAGTCAATCCGGCTAATTTTGGTCAGAAATTGCTAACATCGATGCCATTTATCTTACGTGGCATTGCCAACGTTAATGTGGATAAATTTTAATATTTTTTTTTATTTTTTTTGAATTTTTAACCTTTTTTTCTTTTCTTTTCCTTCTTTACTTTTTTATTTTTATATTTATTTTCCGTTTCTCTTCTTTTCTTTTCTTTTTTCTTTTTCCCCTCCGCTAACCATTGCCAGCCTCAGGCAAGGGTTTCTTTTCTTTTTTCTTTTTTCCTTTTACTAGCCATCACTGGATCGGGCAAGAGCAGCCCTTGCCAAATCGGGCGAGGGTTGGGCCCTGAGGTTGGCGGAGCGAAAAAATAAAAAAAGAACAGAAAAGGAAAGAAAAAAAAGTAAAGAAGAAAAAAAAGGGAAAATAAAAACATTAATAAAAAATTCGAAAAATATTAAAATATAACAGGTTGGTGTCCACATTAGTGATTTCCGGTCAAAATTGGCCATATGGACTCAATTGGCAAAACATGAAAGGATTTATAATTCAATTTGCACAATTAAAAAGGTTTAGGACTGAATTGACAAAATTGCAAAAGATTTATAACTTTTTAGATAATTTTCCCCATTCTGTCAGCTGTGACATTAATCATGATATTTTATTACTTAGGTCGATCTTCATTTGTTGACATTCCGCTCCACAACTTGGCCATTTTCACTTATATTTCTGTCGGCTAAAACTAATTTTCATGTCCATCAATTGAGTTTGCCAACTAAAAGCCTTCAACATTTACCAGATTTTGCCCCCGTCACCTCTAACTCAGTCTTTGCCAACCAAGAGGATGACCAAAGATTTGGACATTTTTTTGGTGTCGACCAAGTCGCCTCCGGTAGGCTAACTTCTCCTCGAGGAGGGCTTGATCTACCCTCTCACTCTCTCTCTCTCTCTCAATGCTTCTCCATGGGGGTGCATAAATAGTCGACGATGGTACCACCACCGTTGACGTCGCCTAAGGTGGCATAAAGGCAACCACCCAACCCTTTCCCTCTCTATCACTCATCTACCTTCGTTCCTCTTTTTCTTCTCTTTCATTTACTCCGCAAGTACATTTAGTCTACTTTGATTTTAACTTTAATGTTGGAAGAGCACTGCAACAAATTCTAGAATATCAGTGTCACCTTGCAAAATCACATCAGGAGACCATTTGTAAGAAGCAATACAGAACTCCCCTGGATTTGCTTGATGGATTTCCCCATTTCGTAACGGGCGTCATGTAGTCACTTGAGAGTATGTGACGAAAGATCGGGAATTTGAAACGAAATTCTAAGTATATGTGCGACGGGCAAATTGCCCCAGGTTCAAAAACCTGGGAGCACAAGAAACTAACACCAAGTTTTGATATACAACTTTAAATCGTTATAGGACATAAGCAACTAGCTGTCCAGATGTTGACTGAATGATTGTGCAGACCTTGTTCATGCAAAAAGATAAAAGCCTTTTGAATCCAATGATTGAACTTTAGCTCAACTTTCCATGAAGGAGCCCGAAGTTGACCCGAGGTCAACCACTTGCGCGCGGAGAAGCCTTTTCACGACAAACTCTGGCGAGCTGTTCAACAAGAACCGAGTCTACGCGATTCCATTAGCTTCCAATTCAAAGTACCCAAGCTGTTAAACAAATTGGCATGTGGACCCTGAAGCCAAGGAGATGAGGGTGACCCGAAAGCCATCGTAGGTTGGAGATGTAGATGGTCAACCATGGCTGCCCAAAAAAAGCCACTGCACAGGATAAGCCCAATAAATTTATGGGACCGATTCACTCTTGAGAGAGTCCAGAAGAAGTTTCATACCAAATCTTATAACACAATTCATTCGCATGCACATTTTAACACTGAGCTCACACGGGCCCGCGTTACTACATTAATCATTTGTTGGGAGCGCGCAAGAGAAGTCCGATATCTTCACTTTGGGAGATTGCTAAGATGGAGCCCAAGTTTGAGACCGTCAACATATCCAGTTGAACTCACATTTATTCAAAAGCTTGAGACAATAAATTATAAGCCAATTATGATATATTATCTATACTAAACACCACACCAATTCTCCGATATGGAATTTCTCTAACACTACTTGCTCACACGTAAATCTTCTATTGCTACATAGGTTTTCTTGTGAACATGTGCTTTGTATAAGCTGAAAAGCCATGAAGATGGGCCGAAAGCCGAAAAAAAAGAAAGAAAGGAAGAGGAGGCCATGACAACAGGTGAACTAAGAAATGAGCTCTGTGGATATCTCGTTTGATGTAGAGCCCCCCACTTTAAATGTAATTGCGAACATACACGGGCCATTAAAAATTGAGGTATTCCATATATTAAACAAACGACATATGTCTCAAACACAAAATAAAAATAAGTGACATATAAAAGGTAAAAGGTCATTTAAATTATATCATCATATATCTATGCATCAACTCTAGCGGATGCCCCAATGACGGTATGAACAAAGGTATTTATTAGCCAACTATGAAACCAGCATACATTTAAATTCCACCTCTTCAAACTTAAAACCTACCATCCTGAAAGTTGATTAATTAAATATCTTCATCAAAATATATGAAGTTTTCCAAAACTACCTACTCAATATTATTTCTCCAAACCCAACAATATCATTAGCACACTAGTCAAGCAACAACATTAGCTCCAAATAGAACGGGGACGGTATCTGCCCAAATGTCCAAAACAGTTGCAGGACTAGTTACTGAAGGCCAAGCACACCAACTCGCGTTCGGCTAAAGGTGAACCTGCCAGTTAGAACTTAAGGCCAATGCCAAATCAGAATTAACTTTTTGCTGCAGCAGCTTGTGCCCTTTCGATGCTAAGTCTTATTTCAAACATAAGAGACTTCATCACGACATCAACAGGAGTAACTTGATTATGCAGCAAGTCACTCCTAGCTCTCCATATGTTGCTTATGGAACCATTCCACACTAGCTTCGGCATAAACAACCCGGAACTAGTCCCTTAGCAGCCTCGTTTGTCCAGTGAAGTCCATAAATCCAATTCCCGAAAACTCGAACAATAGCACAGAGCAATAGAGCTCTCTCCTCTCTATCTGCAAAGAGAGAAGAGCTTTGGGTCAAGAGGCATGTTGTTTCCACTTTCTTTTTTCTTTTCAAGTTCATGTGTTCTATGAGCATCGATAAATCAAGCAGGATTCTTTTGTTACATCCTCATCGGCTTATGGCCCAAAGCTTAAGGTCTAGTAGGTAATCAGATTATATCAATCTATCAATACAGTGCCCTAAAATCAAGCACCTCAGTGGGCAAAAGTCCAGTAATCAAGGGAACTCAAAGGTTTCGTCCAGTGAAATTGAACTCCATATATCTTGCTTCACGCCTTAGGGAGGAGGTATCTTGCTACATTTCTCGTTGCGATTACATTTTTTTTTGGCATTTCTCTATCAACTCTATGCCAGCCTTCTTCATAATTTAGGTGGTGACATCAAATTTACTTGTCGAAGAATCTAATTCATATACCAAATCAAGCAACAGCCATGGGAGGCCGCATCTCATGAAGAACTTGAAACAAAGTATTAGGCCGCATCACATTTGGCCCGGATCGGCATCCGATGCTTAAAATATTCCCAAATTCACTTGTTTTTTTTACGTGCAGCTGAGTAACTTGAATGGTAAACTGCTCAAGCAACGACATTAGCTCCAACCAGAACATGAATAGTAACTTCCCAAATATACCAGACGCTGACTAGTTAGAACTAAAGGCCAAGCACACCAATGCACTTTGGGAAACCGACACAAACAGTCCTCGAACTTTGGTCCAATGTGCAATGTGATCCATGAACTTTTAATTTGTTTAATGCGGTCCCCGAACTTTAACCCAATGTGCGATGTGGTCCCTAAACTTTGGTATATGCTCAATTTAGTCCCTGAGCTATATGAAAATGTTCAATATAGTCCTTTCATTAATTCAAGGACTACATTGAATATTTTCATATATTTCAGGGATTATTTGACCATGTAACAAAAGTTCAGGGACCACATTGAACATTGGGCTAAAGTTTAGGGGCTACATTTAACAAATTAAAAGTTTATGGACCACATTGCACATTGAGCCAAAGTTTAGGGACTGTTTGTGTCATTGTCGCATTCACATTTGGCTAAACTGAACCCGCCAGTTAGAACTTAAGGCCTATCCCAAATCAGAATGAACTTTTTGCTGCAGCAGCTTGAATATGGTTCCAGCTGACATAGATCAAATATAAGGGCAGTAGAGGTTGAAGATTTTACTATGACGGGTTTGTAATGGAACTCTACGATAGAAAGTTCTCGTACAACTTATCAAAGTTTAAGCATCATAATGGTTGGAGGTAAGGTTTAAGAACTAGAAGGAACACCCCGAAAGTTCAGGGGATCCTTATTTAACTTTAAAACTTGTGACACGACAGAAACTTTTGATCTTGGTTGAGATTTCGATTTGCAACTTATCCTGTTGCTCAACCCAGATGAGATTAATTTTGAAACCGTTATATGCCCAAAACAGGCAAGAAGCTTAGATTGAATGATCCAAGTCAACCGAATTGATCTCTTCAATTTTCCTCTACAAGTTAAGCATCCCATAGCCGACCGTGGTTATGATGCGCTGGTTAGGCAACGGGGTGTCGGTCGCATATTCTAGGCTTATTATTTGGTTTTAATAGTCATTTTGTTCAAAATTTAAGACCTTGACTAGATCTCAAAACCTAATTTATGCGAAAAATACTGCCTTCAACACAGTCTAGCTCCTTTTGGCCAAAATATATTATATTCTAGCTCCTGAGAGGCTTCAAATTTGGGGGCCTTTTTTTGTGTGTGTAAAATGTCAGTATTATAGAGCGAATGAAGTACAGCAGCTTAGGGTATCCCCCAGTATTACAAATGGTGCTAATAGTTCGAGAAGATGGAGGTAGGAAGTCTCCACATAGTAGCCAATACAACATTTGTCTGAGAATGTCTAATGTTTTGATAGAGTGAAGCTCTACCTCTTACATTTTTACGCGTGTTGGCCAAAATAATATGGATATCAGTTGACTTGTTTTGAAACCGTCTTCGGTTGCGCTCCATCCATATGCCATAAATGATTGCTAGAAAGGATACCTTAAGTAGTCTAGCCGCCAAATCTTTGCCCTTTGTTGCCCTAATCATCCATTGAAGTTCCTCATTCCAACCTCCCAAATGACGCCTAATCCCCTATTGTGCAAGGATACTGCGCCATAAGCTGCCTATCCACTCACACTGGAAGAATAAATGTGTTCTGTCTTCTATACCAGCCCTACAGAAGTTATACTGATATCAATTGAGGCCTTCCATTGGACGACGATTTCTGCCGTTGGTAATCTGTTTCTGCAAATAAACCAGCCAATAAAATTGTATTTGCTAATACCGCTGATCCAAATTAGGTCATACCACTCCACAACCGGTCCCGTATGTCTGAGTTCATCATAAATTTCTCGACAATAGTACCTTGAGCTATGGATAATCGAGGTTAAAACATGTCGTAGTTTAAGGAGACATCGCCAATTTATGGGCCTTTTTCACATCGTCAGGGAAGTGGAGGTTCCTGCTCCGCCTAGAAAGCCTTTTGTGTCTGTCCTTTCCATTCGATTTACAGCTGTCGCCTTTATCTGCTAAATCAACCAGCAAAAAAGTGTCTAAATAAGGTTTTCCCTGATAAATGGATACCCATTCACGTCGAGATATCCTTCCTTTCATGGTTTTTTCCATTTTACGCCTTCTCGTGCAGGTGGGGATGAAACACTGATCAATCCACTACCCTTGGCCCTCTGCGCCAATATACAAGTACTAGACTTGTCGGATGCTGCTGATAGGAACATGGTCCTGTGCGATAATTACTCCCCTTTTGCACCGAAAACGTGGACCAGCGATAGAGAAGCTTCCAAAACTCCGAGGAAGCCTCCGGGAAATTCACGTCCCACCTACTCACACATGAAAAATCTGTCCCTTTCTTTGATTTGATTGATACACATGAAATGACGTGCGATTGTAGAAAATCGAAAAATTGACAAACGTGTGCACAGTCAAAAGGACCAAAATTAACGGGGAAAAGAAGAAAAAAAAAGATGAATTTTCAACGACCAATCAAAACAATTGATCAATCGCAGCTTCCACCCTTCAAGATTGAGCCGTCGCCAGAGTATCTCCAGAATCTTAGATCAGACCCTGCACGTTCCGAACACGAAAAAAAAATTGATTTTGTAAACTTTACTACAATTGAAGTCAACGTGCCAATATTGAACCGTCAACGGATTATGTTAAAATTATGTCTTGATTTTGAGTCCGAAAAAAAAATTTCCTCATTTAAGTAGATTTCCTAATTGAATGATTTTTTAATTGTAGAAGATTTCCTAAAAAAGGGTTTCCTAATTTGAATATAATTCTTGCCTATAAATAAGAAGGGGATGCTATTTATGAAAATTATCAAAGAGGACTTCTGCTAGAGAATTACACCATGAAGATATCCGAGTGTTTAAAGTCGAGAAATTCTTGTGGTAAGATTTGTGTATAATTCCTTTGTGAGATTGAAAGATTATTTCGTGAAGAATTGTGGGGCTAAACACTGCGTGAGTTATTGGGTATAATTGGGGCTTGGGAAACACTTAGAGTGTTTGAGTGACTCGAGTGTGGTTGTAATCTCCGTTGTATCGCTTGATCTATAGTGGAATTTCATTCTGCTCTCCCCGTGGACGTAGGTCACTACGATCGAATCATGTAAATCTGATATCCAATTTATTTTCTTTATTCTGTCAATTTTACTATTCAATCGCTTGGCTTCCACAACAGATTATATACTAGATCCATTTTGAATTTTGATTCCATCCCACCTTATTTTAATCAAAATTTAATGTGAACAAAGGCGTCGTCGCACGAATGGTTTTTGTATTATGAAACATGCCTGATATACGTTGTCAACCTATGGAATTGTGACTGACTTAGTTTTCGTTTTGGCTGATAACACGAATTGTCTAACATGATTGTCACGTTACCGCTACTCATTCATTTTGGCTGCAATTCCTATTTTGATGCATCCGAATTCCGAGTTTGTCACGAGAATTCTTCGCTCAACAGGACAAAAAAAGGGCGAAAAAGAATTCGTAAACTTGAAAAATGGTGTCAAACTGACTAGCACGAGCTTCACAAAGAGAAGGAAATGGCGTTACTTACTGTTGAAACTCGACTTTGATTGAAGCCACTGACAAATTTGTAAGGGCTCCGAAAGCTGTCTGAGACAGGACCAAAGTGGCGCCGGTGATGGACTGCTTGTAGGCGGCGGCTGCGGACGTGGACGAGAGGGCATTGTCGACGATCTTGATCTGGATAGTGCGTTCGGGGATGCAGGTGCCGGACCGCACCACGCTGATGCACCGCACCAGGTACTGCCTCCCGCATGCCACCCCATTGTCCCATACCCCGTCGCCTGCTGCCGCGAACAGGTTGCTCGACGGGAACTGCGATGGTTCCTCACCATAGCATTCCGTCGCTAAAACAGAAGGGTTAAGAGAGAAAATCATATAGCGTTCATGTCTGCCAAATCAATAAGTTCATTTCTCTTTAAAACTTCTCTCCCTTTCCCTCTTTTTCTAGGGTTAGGACTTACGCTGGTAGGGAGGGGTATAGTAAGAAGCCGTGCCAACATCGCCACGGGCCACGGGTACGATCTCCGGGAGGCCGAAGGCGAGGAGGATGAGGAGGAGGAAACATGTATGAAGGTGCGCAGCGAGACTCTTACTGATTAACATTTTAGGAAGATGGAGCGTGGGAGGGAGATTATGTGCATATATTCTCTCAAAGTCAACGCTTTTTTTCCATAGAATGATATAAATAATGATGCATATATGTACGTGATCTAAAGGGGAGATGCCAACCTTGAGATAATTAAGAGATTAGACCCCACATGTGACATGACAACTTTGCTCGAAATGAATGTGAACTTCTGCTTTTTCTTTTCTTTGATTCGTCAGAGTCACTTCTCAACAGTCAAACCTTGAGATAAGAGATTGGACCCCACATGTGACATGGCAACTTTGCCCGAAATGAATGTGAACTTCCGCATTTTCTTTTCTTTGATTCGTCAAAGTCACTTCTCAATAGTCAAAATGAAATGTTTTCCTTAGCAGAATATCAAATTGAAACGCGCATTCAGCCGCTACGGATGCTTTTCGGCGCGGATTGTTCTGAAAAGTATTCGGTGGGACTTAGAAAATGTGCATGTGAAGGCAATGCTGATCTGAATTTTCATAGACTGGTGGATGATCGGATTGCATGTTGAGGATGCATATGAGGTTCGTGTAGTCTCCATTCCTACCGGTTATAATGTTCCGAAAGCGGCACAGACTTTCGAAACCGACACGCTGGGCCTTGCAAATTCAATTCAGGCCTTGACAATCGGGTGTCGTTCGATACGGAATTAAATTGAAAAAGTAATCGACCACGTCGCAGAACCGCATGCCTAGCCACCTGCTCATGTGCGCGGGTGTGTGAACAAGAAGGTCGACGAAAGAGGGGGCATAGAGTGAATTTCATTTTCATGTCACACATTGCATTTTACACGGACTAAGTATCGATTTCGATATTTTTTTTAAGGTTGGGGGTTCTTATAATTGAATGGAGGGCTGTGAAGTGGAACTAGTGAACAATTATTCTTTCATGAAAGGTTATGAAAGGTCAAAAGTGTAGTTTTCTTTCTTTGATGGACAAAACACCGAGGTGAATTAATCATTCCAACCGATCGTGTACAGCACCAGGCTAGTTTTGGGGAGTATAAGGCACGTGATAACGATGTCATTCTTGGCACTAGCCCGAAATTTTGGACCCAGTTACATGCTCAAGGTGATTAGGCTTCGGTTGTTTCGCGAAAAATGAATGATTTGGACAGTGTTTTCTTCAAAATTATTGATTGTATCGCTTACAAAAATGAATAAACGAACAATATTTTCGTCGTCCACTAAAATGTTTAGACATAAATTGTTGTCGGTAATGAAAAATGTTTTCATTACCTAATTATTTTAAACGATACAAATGATCATTTTTAGGAAAACGTTTTTCAAATTGCAGGATTTTCAATGCTCCATATTGACTCCGTCTTTGTTCATACCGCTCAAATCATCAAACAAAATCCTGAAAGTTAGATGACTTGTGGAGATAAACGCGAAACGACCTAGCCGTTCCATGTGGGCCGAGTCTCATAAGAAGCCCTCAAAACAACATGCAAGGTGGCGATCATTTGATGATGGATATGTGATTTATGAATCACTCAACATGGCCTCTCTCGACCGACGTGGGATTCTGAGATTTCACGTAAAGTTTTAATGATAATTAGTTGTGATCTTAAGTGAAAATAAGAGTAAAGTAATCAAGAGGACGTAACGTGACCTCACATGTGACATAGTAAGAGACCAACCTCAAGCTTGAGTAATTGAGACATGAGATAGAGATAAACATGCGCAGTAGGCTATCTTCCGGATGACTATAACTATTATGTGACATCAGCATTTAGCTACCATGCAAGCCTAAAGACAGTGATGGAATAATTGAATAGACCTTCCTTCATGCACAAGATGAAACTAATACAATGATTTAACTTTAGGAGAATTGCATCGTGCCTCTAGTTTTTTGCCCCCTTAATGCCTTAATTTTAGCGATGTTCACTCCTGACATTTTAAAATTTGTTTCAATTTATTCCGGGATATCGACTCCCACCAAAATTGTCGCTAGAATTTTGGTCACGTGCTCTCACGTGACTAGATGCATCATTATGGATGACACAGTTAGCAAAATTACATTTTACTTCCCATACTTTTTGAACCGTTATAATTTGACCCCCGAGGTTTCAAAAGTTTTGTAGCATACTCCATGATCATTTGAAGTATGTTGCAATGTTTCCTCGATGGTATTGTAAAATCATTCCATTAAAGAGGATATATCGAAATGGACAAAAAAAGAAACAAATCGGATGCGAGAGAGGACGAAATGATGGCCATCATCACCATCACTACTGGCAAGACCTCGACCTCTTTGTTAATTCTTAGATCGATGCTGCGCAAAAAAAAATATGGATCAATATAAACTGACGAAGGTCTTGAAAGTGTGCTTTATTGATTCTTAGCCAGAAAACATAAATGATGAGAAAATTAAAAGTATTGAAATAGGGAACAATTGTTGTCAACTACGTAAATGTACTGAAATGTAAAGATAAATCGAAAGTAAAATTGAACAACTAGTGTTCTTTGATTGATTGTCGGTCCCTTTTACAAAATGGAATTCAAGCATTTATACCTACTATCTTCGGTTAACAATGGTTACAAAGAAATCAAACACATCTTATGTGATTCCTACAATGCAACAATTCCTATCTAAAAATGGTTACCCAGAAATAAACGACTCCACTACTTTGACGGTTGTATCTTCTCCACTTCTCCACAATTGCCACTATCAGTTACTCAAGGACTTCTGGGCTCCACCACTAAACGGTTGCATTGCTTTTACTCCTTTACAAATGCACCTCTGACGGTTGAATCCAAAATCATCCGCTCCAACAATCAAGATGGTTACTCCAATCTCATTCCGTCAACTGTTACATCAATCGTGATATCATCTTACTTAAGTGAGTCTTCATTTGTCAACATTTCGCTCCACAACTTGGTTATTTCACTCATTTCTTTGTCGGCTAAAACTAATTTTCTCATTGATCAACTGAGTTTGCCAACTGAAAGTATGACATCCTCAATTTCAGCCCCCGAGAAATGGCTATGAATCGGTTTGCGAAAGGATCAGGGATCGGTCTTGAACGCGACACGTGCCCTGCTCGTACCTCTGGGCAAGAAGATAAGACTCATTTCTAAGCCTTCCAATCTTCTTCTACCTTGATTTTGCTAAGAATTGAGTTTTGCTGAATCAAATCTGGTGATTTTTTCATATGGACTCAATTCATGTTCTTGTTCTGGAAAATCCAGAATCGGGTCCTTTGCACCTCTTCATTTTGTTATTTTTGTGGAGATTTTTGTGAACCGAATTTTAAGAAATTTTCTTCATCAAAGTTGTTCCCAACATCTTTAAGTGTAACATACTTTAAATTCAGATTTTTCTAAGATGATTTGGTTTGTACGAAAGACCATTTTCTAAACGGGTTTGAACCATCTAGTTTTGCTGTTTCTGTAACCTTTACACCTTCTTGATTTTTCAAGAGTTTTTCTAGAACGATTATTAACAAATTTCCCTCACAAAAGTTGTTGAGAACTTCTTTCTATATAACATATAAAAATTTGAGAATTTTTGGAGATGATTTGGATTCTAGAAAGAGCTTACTTTGAGAAGCAAGGATTTTGTTTCAGTGAACTGTTTTTAGTCTGTCTTTGAGCTAATAAAAGTTGTGTTTAAAGAAAGATCCATATTTCGTATTCTTCATGGGAAATATTTGTTAAGGTCTTCTATGACATATTCAAATTTTAGAATTTTCAGGGTCCATTTACTATGTTGTTAAGTCTGATTTCTAGAACAGTGCAAAAATTTCCGGGTTTTGCTAGATTGCAAAGACTCATCATTTTCTATATGAGGACGTTGGGATTTCGATTTGATGTCTTTTGAAGACAAAATCTATACATACTGAGGTTTCTAATGAGATATGATTTCCTAGGCTTAGGTGTCCCTAAACTACTTAGGGCATAATTACCTATTTTTGTGGCTTGAGGAACAAGTTGTCTTGAAGACTAAGTTGCCTTAACCTCTTGAAAGCTAGCCATTTAATGCAAGCTTATGTGTCCCCAAGAATTAGGGCTATCATTACCCTAAAGTAAGTCTTGAAAGTAAGAGGCAAGAAGGAGGCTTAGGGAAGATTCTAAAAGAGTCAAAAACTTGGAGAGTAAGTTTTGGGTAGAAACATGTGACTAAAATCCAAACCCAATGATGGCCATATCTTGGGTATTAAATGAAGGAGGTGACTCACCCTCTTAGGTGGCAATGATAGATTTAGTAAATCATTACATTTAGATTTTCTTTGGAAAACAAATTAGTTGAGTCATCATTATAGGAATGAGTGGTCCAATAAAAAGATAACAAGCGTTCTTCCTAGGGCCTTAGGCTTGCCACCTTGCCGTTTTAGGGTTGCCACCTCTGTACTCTGGGCGTGCTACTTCAAAGAAGATGATTGGGCCACTTGGAAAGGTAATGATGAGGATGGTGCCTATAAATAGGATGAGCCCCTCATCCATTCTCACCTTGGAGCTCACTTCTTCCTCCCCTAGCTCTCTTGCACGCCTTTCTCTCTCTCTCCTCGTTTGCCGCCGTTTCCCCGTTCGATCACCGTAGACATTGGCTTGTGCTTGCAAGTGAGTGAATTCCCTAACACTTGGATAGGGCGGTGTGTTACGTGGTTGGAACACGGCTTGAGAAGTTGTTGTTGCTTGAAACGGTTTTATTCTTGTGGGCGTTGGTTCTTGCTAGCAATATTCTTCTGACCATTATTATTGTTGAGATGACTTTGTTTTTAATGGTGGTGTACTTGTTCTTAAGTGAAATTTTTCGTGTGTACACCTAAACAAGTTTGTGCTTGTTATTGTATGGTTTGCTCATGATTCATTTTATTGATAGTTGAGCACATCCCGTTCATCGAAGAAAAGGTTCCCGTCGGCATTGAACATGAAACGTAGGCATGTCGAATCGGGCCTCTCTTAGGCTTGGACGATATTGAGGAATATCGTTCCAATGTCAAGTTTGGTCTAGGTCGGTGCTAAAGTGTAGCGAT